AATTATTTTTATTTTATAATACAGTAGTAATTGTTTTATTAAAAAGCGTTTTATTTTTATTTCTATAATTTTCAATAATTTTTTTAATGTAAAAAAAATTGTATTGGCAACACTTATAAATTGATAAGCAGACGAGAAATGGCGGTGCTCAATATGTATTTTGATTCAAATTCGATGTAGTATTCGTTAGAAAGACTATGAGAGATACTCATTTTATGTTTGAATGTAATATCTATCTTTATAACCGAAAATGGAAGATAGTGGTATAGATAGCGATTCTAAATCAAACAGTTATGGTTGTGTAGGTGCTACCTCTGGCTGGAGTGGACATGACACATCGATGGCTGCGAGGAAGGAAAACACGCCACATGAATCCAATTTACAAGAGGTTTGTACTAAAATTTAATGATGAATTGCCTACACGCTTTTAAAGGTAACATTCTTATTGAAAACGTGCAATTATTTTAATAATTTTGTTTATTTTGAAAGTTTCTTAATTAAGATATAAAATAGGATACATTTTGAACATATATTAATCAATATTGGAAAGAGAATTCTCTTTATATAAAATCCAATTGTAAAACATTTTAATTTGCAATCAGTTGTATATTCAATTACAATTGTAAATCAATTGTATCGTATAATAAAATTTAAAATGCATATAAAAGGAACATATCAGATCAATTAAAGGAAATTATACAAAGCAGTAGCTGAGCATTGCCACAAGGAAAGACATGAAATTATTTTAAATACAGTACAAAGAAAGAAATGGATTTAAAAGACAATTATTTGAATATATTTGTATAAAAAAAGGTAGAATTTTACCTATGTGCACCATCATGGCAGCGGTCGCAACTGTTTGTTCTCTCGATGGACTTCTCCCAGAGGGGAGCCACCAATTGTATAACATTGCTAGTTATTGATTCACAGTAGTTCTTGTACACATGTATCAATAACTAGTGACATTAAACAGTCAGCACAAACAGTCGCGACGACTGTTTGTGCTGACGACTGCTGCAATGACGGTGCACATAGGTAAAATTTTACCAAAAAAAAAAAACAAGGTAACAGAATTAATAATAATTTAAGAAGAGAAATTCACCAATTGTGGAATAGTATCATTTATAGAGGACATAATGAGTAGAAAAGTATTTAAAACAGAAGTAATGGTGGAAAAGATAATAGAAAAAGGAAATAAGAATACGAGATGATGTCAAACTGAAAAAACAATCAAACAAGATCAGTGAGTAAAGAAAATTTTTAATAGTTTTGTCATTTTTATACAGGTGTAAATTAAAAAAAAAAACATTACTTTATGTCGGTATTAATGTTGTATTAATATTGGACCGTAAAGAAAATGCAAGTTATTTTAGCTTATCTTAAATGTTATTGTTGGGTGTAATATTATTGTTTTTAAAAAGTTTTTATACAATTGTTATAGAATGTCGTTGTAAACCTGCTGAAGAAGGGCCTTCTGGTCTGAAACACAAAAAGAGTGTACAAGTGAAAATAAAGATATTTTGTTTTGACTTTTGACTAAAATTTCCTCTCTTTGGTAATCAGAAACTACACCAGTATAATAAGTCCTATTGTAAAGTTTGATGTAGTTAAACAGTTGATAAAAATTAGGCCAATTCTTTAACATTTTAAAATGTGGATTTAGAGCTAAATCAATCAGCTAACAAAATCAAAACAATATTTTTAAATTTTGTTATGAAGCATTCTTCTGATAGACATTGATCTTATCTTAATTTTATCTCATGTGCTATTATGTTTATCTAAAAAGCAACCAGAGAGCAGACATGAGATCAAATACAAAGAGGCGAGATTTATCTCTGCTGGAGGCTATTGGCATCTTACAAGGATTGTAGGCTATCTCTAGAGATAAAATCTTGTGTAAAAGTAGTTATAAAGTGATAATTTGTAGTAATGTTGATGTAAATTGTTGATGTTATTAAAATGTTTTTATTAAATAATTACCTGAAGAAACTACTTGAAAACTTGCTGGAACACCTATTTGAAAAAAATCAACAGTATTAATACTAAAGTTAATGAAAGGGATAATAATCAAAGTTTAGTAAAATATTTTAAATTGANAAGCCTCAACTGGAATCTGATCAGTGCCTACTGATTTCCCCATCTTTATTTTGCTAAGCACACTTTCCACTTCTTCTCTGCTAATATCTTGCACCACTCCATTTGCCTCTCCATTTTTGTGTAAAGTTTTCTTCATTTAATAAATTCCTAAAATATACTTTCCATCTTTCCTTGACCCTTTCGTAATCTTATAATAACACTTCTTTATCATCTTTAATCAGTTTAATAGAGGTAAAATCTTTTGATGCCTTATCTCTTGCTTTAGAAATTCTCATCAACTGCCTTTCACCACTTTTCCTTTCAAAAACTTTATAAGCCTCTTCTAAAGCCTTTGTTTTCGCAATAGCCACTGCCTTTTTAGTCATTTTATTTGCCAAATGGTAAGTTTCTTTACCTTCAGGCCTTCCCATCAAATCCCACCTTTTCTTTGCCTCTTTCTTTTGTTTAACTGCAGATTGTACTTCAGCATTCCACCACCAAAATTTCTTTCCTTCTGGCAATCTCTTCTCTGAAGTTTGTCCCAAAACCTCTTCTCCAACTTTGGAACTGGTTTTGTGGCTATTCCACAAAACCAGTTCCAAAATTGCTTTGAAGCATGGACAAAGTGCTGGCACTGGTGCATAACTTTCTAAGAGGACTACTATAAAGGTAACCATAATGGAATTCAACAATGCAGTATGTAGCACTTTTACCATGATAAGTTTGTGAACTTAGTCATCAGATCTTGTAAATACAACATTGCATAAATTGATACAAAAAGTGAGCTTTGTTTTATTAGAAAACATGTTCAAAACAACTGTCTTCAGTAGCAATACAAAGATATAGATGTTAGAGCGTGGCATTATGGATGGCATGTATTATTCCTGGTGTCATCATTTCACAGGCATGTATGCATCTCTCTACTTCACCAACATCACATGACAATGCTGGGTATGTATCATACACTAATGCTTTTAGGTGACCTCACAGGGAAAAATCTAGAGAGGCAACATATCTATGAAACATGGTGGTCATGGAACAGTGCTATGTTGTCCTATTCAGTGGTTGACAAATTCTTCTACAAGCCACTAAATGGCTATTTGGGAATGAGCTGAATGCATCATTGTATTTGTATTTAACCTGTAATTGCACCAATGGCAAATCATCAAGCCATTTGTCCACCATCATGTTTAGGATGTTAAGATATTTGTCACTATTCAGGGTGCCATTAATAAGAGACCAAGAATCTGAACACCCAAATTCCACACTAGACATTTAGGATAAATGCACTTAGTGTTGCATATGTCATTTTTTGCATTGATGAAGAAGGATATGACTATCCAAATTGTCCTTCCTTCTGGTTATAAATCGTCATATCCTTCTTCATCCTTCAATTTGGATTGTCATATCCTTCTTCAACAATGCAAAAAATACTCTTCCAAAAATTCAATGGAGAAAGTCAATGCAAAATTATTGTTTGTGATGAATGCAGACAAATTTGCAATCGCGGTCTGCCTTAGAAGCTCACAAGCAATCTCACACAGGAGAACAACCTTATCAGTGTGACATTTGTCAGAAGAAATTTAGACAAAAGTCGGATTTAAATAAACATAAGCACAAGTGTTATCATGGTGACCAAACTCCATCATCAAAGAAAAGATTATTTGGAAGTTCATATGTGAATTTATATCAGTGAAAAACCTTTTACTTGTAATCAGTGATATTTCAATATTCAACAAATTTAAAATGTCACAAAAGAATGCATTTCAAAGAAAGGAAATTCATTTGCAAATTGAAAAATTGCAGATTTACCACCAAATTAGAAGACATTCTGGATTATCATGTGCAGGATTAACAAACTTGTACTATAATGCCTTGAATATAAACAACAAATAATATTGACAATATTTTAACTATTATTTAATACAATAAATTATTTATTAAATAATTTAGAAAATTTTGGAAGAAAAGATTGATTTGGAATGACATTTGAAACCCCTCTTGAAGTCAATACTCTGGATAATAACTAACAATAATCTAGTTTAGATTTAGTTACAATTCTGGTTTTGGTTGTGTGGATATATTTTTTAAACTTATATGGGAAACTACTCATGTATAATGTTGTAACTATAACAAGTACAAGTACAACCAAAAACAATAATTGTTTTTAGTTGTACTTGTACTTGTTAAAACAATAAACTGTTGACTTGATGAAGATCCAGGCAAAGGATTGGAAGGTGATTATTTACTGTAGATTTATTTAAGAAGGTTCTCTAAGAGATTTTGAACTAATAATAATGTCATATGAGCAGAAATTTTTTGATCCAGAAGAGTGTATAGAAATAGGAACACAAAACATAAGTGTTGACAGATGTTGAGTTTGTTCAAAAACCATATGACTGTCCAAAAACAACTGAATTTATTTTCTCAATTCTACAGTACATGGTGTGATTAATTGATCTTAAATGGTGCTACTGCAATAAGTAAATATAAGATTATAGTAGGAAATCCTGATAACTGTTATCTTGGAAACCTTTGAGCAAGGAAAAAGATTTAAACTACTTATATTCGTATGAAATGTTTGAGTATAAGGAGCCTTTTTACAGAAAAACAAATTGATATAATTGAAAAGAGATATTGAATATGCTACCAAGATATCAAAAATTAAAAAAAAATAAAATATTTGTTATGAACAAGATACATAAGTTCAATTCTCAATACTTCCCATGAAACATTATGTTCAAGATGTCATAAGCTTTTTTTTAAAGATGTTTATTATTAATTTGCTCTATATTATTTTAAACATTTTCTTTAAACTCATTGTTTATTATTATTCATTAAATTTTATTCTTATTTATAGTTATTTAATCAACATTTATATAATTAATACATTTTATGTAAAGAATTATTATAAATTGCAACACAGATATGATGAATGTTGAGATAGGGCTGCTGAAGGCAGTCAAGAGTAGTGTTCCTGTTGTTTTATATAAATACAAGCATTTCTTTTGGAAACATTAAAATAATACAAAATTTATATTTTATTTATACAGATGTTCTTCTGAAGATGGGTCTCTAGGCCCAAAAATATTCTTTATATAGTAGAGTATTAAAATTGTAGTAATGCTCCAATAAAGCAGTGTTTTATATTTCTTTATTTGCAAAATTTAAGTTTTAATTTATTTAAAAATTTTAATTTAATTAGGCAGAAAATCAGAAAGATGAAATTAATGAAACCATTCCTACATCATCATCACAGTTGATGACAACTGTTCAGCTACAAAAACGTCTTGGTAAGTATGATATTTATGCTTAAAAATAATGTGTAACTAATACTTTAAATTAAAATCTAAATTTCATATAATTAAAGTTACTCTTAGTACATACAATTTATATATATATATATATAATAACTATGCTCATACATATAAATAACTCAAATAACAATCCAAATTTCATCACTAAATTCAGTGTTTTTATTCAACTGTCTGACACAGAAATAATATGAAGTTATACTATTAGATTATAAAAAATTTTCAAAATATGTAGTAATTGCTTTTTATATTTTTGACATTTGATAAAGATAATTTATTAGTGATAAAAATAATTGTCATTGATGAACTAATATATACAATGGCAATTACATGCTCATACATATAAATAACTCAAATAACAATCCAAATTTCATCACTAAATTCAGTGTTTTTATTCAACTGTCTGACACAGAAATAATATGAAGTTATACTATTAGATTATAAAAAATTTTCAAAATATGTAGTAATTGCTTTTTATATTTTTGACATTTGATAAAGATAATTTATTAGTGATAAAAATAATTGTCATTGATGAACTAATATATACAATGGCAATTACATATCATTTTATCATCCAATTGTTGATGTACTTGCACTTATACTTTAATCTCTTGATAAATGTTTTCAAAAAAATCATTCTTTTAAAAATCAAATAATCAAGCTGGATTTATTACTGGGCTGCATTTTGGTTAATTAAATATATATAATAAATGCTATGTAATTTGGGCTAAACATGAGCAATTAAGTTGCCATCTTAATTGCTTATCTTCAGTTCAACTTACATAACATTTGTGTATTCAGTTTGCAAAAATATAGCTTGATAATAAATTCAGTTTGATTTTATTACATTAGAAGTAATATTTGGGTTTGGTTTCTTATATGATAATTCTTTTATCAAAAATATTCAAATCAAGTTGATTTAAAATATTTTCTTATATATTGTTATATGTATGCTTTTGAACTAATTTGAATGTTAACTAAATATAGAATCAGCATTTGATTGATTAAAAATATAAATATTGTATTAAATTAAATAAAAAATTGAGATTGCATTTAAGAATTTAATGAAATAAACTAGAAAGTTAATACAGGTAAGCTAAACATCACCTAATAACAAGACAAAAATAAACTATATGGAGTTCAATGCAGTAAAGTTCTGAAAAATCATTTGTATTCATAAGAAAAATGGAAGTCTGGTAAAAATAACATTTCACAAATCTATCATTTTGTCTTTTTTGCTATCAAAAACATTGCTTCTGTCAAATCACATCACATTTCCATTTTGTTGTTTTGATATACTCCTGAATTGTATTTTCATAGAATATTTTGATAAACAAAGCAGTTTATTTAATCATTTGAAACAATAAAATATAGAATAATAACATAAAATGAAACAAGTTAATGTACAATTAAAAACAGTAAAACTTAGGATTTTTAAGGAAAGAACAACAGACTAAGCACATTTTTAGAACAACAATAAAATAAATTCAAAGTTGGCATGACTCAATTTTATTGGTTGAACACATTGCCTTAAAAAGCATACCTAATGGCATTTTTCCTTTTTATTTGATGACATCTTGGAGATATCATAGTTCCATAAAGTGGCATTACATAGAATTTTATCCAATTGGCATGCATTATCTCACTCAACTCAACAGTTGACCTCAACTTTGTTCTGCTGGACTTAGTCTTTTAGTAGAAGCAATGCCCTCAACTTTGTAGCTAGAATTTGACCATTGACTATCCAAGCCAATGCATCAATATGAAGGTATCTCAGAAAGTGTGATGACATAGCTCAAATATTCACCAGCTTCCTAGAAAAACAAATAAAAAAGAAAAATAAACAGTGCAGTTTGCTACATTAGATTTTAGCAATTCATTGTAGATGTAATTATAAAATAACTGAAATGGAAAAAATGGACTATTTGGGACTGAGTCGCCTAAACTGCATTAAATGTTGAAGATATAAATAATAATAATAATAATAATAATAATAATTTCATTGAAAGATGATCTTCCTTATATGCTAAAGATCTGATAGCTAGCAATTGTCAGGTTATCCAATAGTTTCAAAAATTCTGTTTCATTATTTAATTACTGTTTAGAAAATTTTGTGAGATTAATTTTACTACTGTCTTTTAAATGCATACTTTATTTCTAAATTTTAATAATGTTGACAATTTAACATGTTCTTGTTGTTGAAGACCCCTTTTAACATCTTACCATAATTAATTAGTGCTTTCACACTAACCATTACTAATTTGCATGTTTAAATTAATTTAAAATGTTTTGTTGTTATGTTTTATACTTAAATGATTTTATTTGCAATTCTTCATCTTTATCTTCACCTTTTTCCATGTTTATATGGGGTCGGCATTTCCTTCTCTAATATGCTTTTTCCATTTCTCCCTATCAAGGGCTTCTCTCTTAAATCCCCTCTGGTTCAAGTCTTCTTTCACCTTATCTTTCCAATGCATCTTTGGTCTTCCTCTTTTCCTCTTTCCTTTTTACTACCAGTTTTCCGATTTTTTTTTTCAACATAATTGTCACTTCTTTGCTCTACATGGCCAAACCAACTCAACCTACATTCTTGCATCTTTTTGCTCAAGGGACCCACCTTAACAGAATCTCTAATAAAATCATTCCTTATTCTAACCTTCCTTGACACTCCAAACATTCATCTCAACGTTCTCATCTCTGTCACCTCCATCTTTCTTTCTTGGGTTCTTGTTATTGCCCATGTCTCAACTCCATATAACATTGCAGGTCTAACAACTGATTTATACAATTTTCCTTTCAGATTGCAGCTAACTTTCTTGTTGCATAACACACTGCTCAGCTTCCTCCAATTCATCCATCCACATTGAATTCTATGCTGCACCTCAGAGTTCAATCCTCCTCCCATCTCGACAAATGTCCCAAAATATTTAAAACTCAGAACAAAAGGGAGTGGCACATTTTGGATTTTAATATTACACTCGTCTCTACCATTCAGAGTCATATAAGCTGTTTTAGTTCTGCTAATCTTCATGCCCCTTTCTTCCAAAACTTTCCTCCAATCTTCCAGTTTCTTCTCAGCCTTTGGGAAAGTTCATACAGCACAATATCATCTATAAACAGCATACTCCACGAAGCCTCACACTTCATGTCACACACCAACACGCCCATTATCAAGGCAAACAAATAAGAGCTAAGGGCTGATCCCTGATGCAAACCAACATTAACGAAGAACCCTTCTGTAGTGCCCACACTACTCTTAACTTGGATCTTTCTCGTACATTTCCTTGATGAGCCTAACATATTTTTCTGGAACATTCTTTTCCCTCAAACATCTCCATATCTCTTGCCTTGGTACCCTATCATATGCCTTTTCTAGATCTATGAACACCATGTGCAAATTGTCCTTCATTTCCCTGTGCCTTTCCATCAGCTGTTTTAGAGCAAAGATAGTATCAGTCATAATCCTTCCCAGCAAAAAAATCAAACTGTTCCTCTCCAATCTCAGATTCCTGCCTAATCCTTCTTTCTACAATTTTCTCCAAATCTTCATAGTATGGGACAATATCTATATACAGTAGAGTCCCGAAAACCTGGCACTCGATAACTCGGCAGTCCAGATAACTCGGCCACACCCTGGCAGGGCAAAAAAAAACCCTAGTTAATTTTCATTATAGACAGCTTTATGCCTCATAAAGTATTTTTCTGAGATCTGTCTTATCAGGTAATGTCACTGTCTATTCATTAATTTTCATTTTCATGTAGTAAAGGCTCTATGCCTTCATAAAGTACGTACTTTTCTTTTGTTTAAGGGTATTTGGGCAGTTTATTCTCTGTTGTATTCTCAATCAAACAATACATACAAGTACAGTATAGTATTTTCTGAGGAAACACTCGTACTTATTCTTTTTTTAACCCATTCCCGATAACCCAGCATTTTCACAAACACAAACTCGGCCACCCTTCAGTCCACATTAGGCAGAGTTTTCGGGACTGTACTGTACCTCTGTAATTTTCGCAATTCTGTACATCCCCTTTACCTTTAAAGATCGGCACAAGAATGCTCTTCCTCCATTCATTTGGAATCTTCTCCTGCTGCCAGAGTTTCTTCATAAGGTCCCAGAGGATAGAAATTCCCTCATTACTCAAACCTCTCCAAGCCTCAGCTGGAATCTGATCAGTGCCTACTGATTTCCCCATCTTTATTTTGCTAAGCACACTTTCCACTTCTTCTCTGCTAATATCTTGCACCACTCCATTTGCCTCTCCATTTTTGTGTAAAGTTTTCTTCATTTAATAAATTCCTAAAATATACTTTCCATCTTTCCTTGACCCTTTCGTAATCTTATAATAACACTTCTTTATCATCTTTAATCAGTTTAATAGAGGTAAAATCTTTTGATGCCTTATCTCTTGCTTTAGAAATTCTCATCAACTGCCTTTCACCACTTTTCCTTTCAAAAACTTTATAAGCCTCTTCTAAAGCCTTTGTTTTCGCAATAGCCACTGCCTTTTTAGTCATTTTATTTGCCAAATGGTAAGTTTCTTTACCTTCAGGCCTTCCCATCAAATCCCACCTTTTCTTTGCCTCTTTCTTTTGTTTAACTGCAGATTGTACTTCAGCATTCCACCACCAAAATTTCTTTCCTTCTGGCAATCTCTTCTCTGAAGTTTGTCCCAAAACCTCTTCTCCAACTTTGGAACTGGTTTTGTGGCTATTCCACAAAACCAGTTCCAAAATTGCTTTGAAGCATGGACAAAGTGCTGGCACTGGTGCATAACTTTCTAAGAGGACTACTATAAAGGTAACCATAATGGAATTCAACAATGCAGTATGTAGCACTTTTACCATGATAAGTTTGTGAACTTAGTCATCAGATCTTGTAAATACAACATTGCATAAATTGATACAAAAAGTGAGCTTTGTTTTATTAGAAAACATGTTCAAAACAACTGTCTTCAGTAGCAATACAAAGATATAGATGTTAGAGCGTGGCATTATGGATGGCATGTATTATTCCTGGTGTCATCATTTCACAGGCATGTATGCATCTCTCTACTTCACCAACATCACATGACAATGCTGGGTATGTATCATACACTAATGCTTTTAGGTGACCTCACAGGGAAAAATCTAGAGAGGCAACATATCTATGAAACATGGTGGTCATGGAACAGTGCTATGTTGTCCTATTCAGTGGTTGACAAATTCTTCTACAAGCCACTAAATGGCTATTTGGGAATGAGCTGAATGCATCATTGTATTTGTATTTAACCTGTAATTGCACCAATGGCAAATCATCAAGCCATTTGTCCACCATCATGTTTAGGATGTTAAGATATTTGTCACTATTCAGGGTGCCATTAATAAGAGACCAAGAATCTGAACACCCAAATTCCACACTAGACATTTAGGATAAATGCACTTAGTGTTGCATATGTCATTTTTTGCATTGATGAAGAAGGATATGACTATCCAAATTGTCCTTCCTTCTGGTTATAAATCGTCATATCCTTCTTCATCCTTCAATTTGGATTGTCATATCCTTCTTCAACAATGCAAAAAATACTCTTCCAAAAATTCAATGGAGAAAGTCAATGCAAAATTATTGTTTGTGATGAATGCAGACAAATTTGCAATCGCGGTCTGCCTTAGAAGCTCACAAGCAATCTCACACAGGAGAACAACCTTATCAGTGTGACATTTGTCAGAAGAAATTTAGACAAAAGTCGGATTTAAATAAACATAAGCACAAGTGTTATCATGGTGACCAAACTCCATCATCAAAGAAAAGATTATTTGGAAGTTCATATGTGAATTTATATCAGTGAAAAACCTTTTACTTGTAATCAGTGATATTTCAATATTCAACAAATTTAAAATGTCACAAAAGAATGCATTTCAAAGAAAGGAAATTCATTTGCAAATTGAAAAATTGCAGATTTACCACCAAATTAGAAGACATTCTGGATTATCATGTGCAGGATTAACAAACTTGTACTATAATGCCTTGAATATAAACAACAAATAATATTGACAATATTTTAACTATTATTTAATACAATAAATTATTTATTAAATAATTTTCAGTGAATATAAATATGAATGTTCTTTGGAAAAACAGAATTCTGATAAATATTTTTAAATTTAGAAAAGCAAATACAGCAAGCAAGAAAAATAAGAAAAGAAGTAGGAAATGACAGTGAAGTTCACCCAAAAAAATCACTTATTTCACGAAACAGGTATTGTAAATAACTGTTTAATGTAATACTTAGTTTTATTTTAATGAAAAGCTGTGTTTGAAAAATTATATTTTGTTTTAAGACTTAATCATAAAATATATTTTAATGCAACATTGTTGAAATTTCAGCATTTTATGATTGACAAAATTATTTTTTATATAAGCTATTATATTTTTACAAACTCTGATTAATTGTTTACTTTGATTTAGAATATCTGAAAACATTACTTTATAATTTTATTATTTTATACTTAATACATTTATTATTATATGGAATGGAAAGGAAGCCAGAGATGGTATCTAGACTCAAATGCTTCTTTGCATATGTTCTATGAGAAAATGAAGTTATTCTATGTTGAAACATTTCATGCAAAAGAATTAAACTTGGCAACTTTTCTACATCAAAAATCAAGGGAAATGGTGATATAGTGATAGAAACAGGGGAACTACTTGAAGCCAAATTAGAGAACAACTTCTTGTGTCAGTAGGAATGATAATGGATTATGGCTTTAATGTATTCAAAAAGAATCAGACAACTGTCATCAACCAGAAAACCAAGAAAGTTCATCTAAAAGCATTTAAAGGAGGAGGAATCTAAACTCTCTTGAACAAATGTTAGACAAATGAAAATATGGCATGAATGTTTAGGTCACTTCAACAAAAGAGATGTATGGCACATGGTCAATTATCTGAAGATTAAGGGATTAACATTAAACAAAAAGAAGAGCTTGATCCTTGTGAGATCTGCATAAGTGGAAAACAAACAAAACTACCATTCCAGAAATAGAACGAGATGAGATACAGAGAAATATTAGAACTTATCACACCAACATTAGTAGACCAATGAGAACTGCATCATTGAATTGGTTGAAATATTTTATCATGTTTATAGATAATCACTCTACAATCAATCAATCAATTGTTATTTTATTAAGGTGTGAACACACATATCCCAGCCCCGCATTATAGCATTACTGGGAGCAAAGGATACATCAACATAATTTTACAAACAATTCTTACAAGGATAAATACATTCAATATTACAATAGTGAGGATATTTATATTATTTACAGAGGTAATTTCTCTGTAAATAATATAAATATCCTCACTATTATTACTGGATTATGGGATTTTACAAATACATGAGCCGTTCACAGCCCGACACACGTATTTGTAAAATCTAAGTGACTCTTACAACATGGAATTCATATAAAATGGAATAATCAACAGTGTTATAGAGGGGTCAACTGTAGATGGTGTGAAGCATATTTTATGAAAAAGAAAAGTGAGATCCTTGACAAATTCAGAACATATCTAGATTTTGCAGAAAATGAAACAGGAAGAAAAATTAAGAAAGAAAAATTAAAACTATAAGAAGTGACAATGGAACCAAGTACATAAGTAAGGAAGTTGAAAGCTTCCTGAAGCAGAAAGAGATAAGACATAAGAAAACAGCTTGTTACACACACTGGCAAAATGTCATTGCAGAGAGAGAAAACAGAACACTAGTAGAAACGGAAAGATACATGATACTTCAGGCAAGATTGAAAGAAAAGAGTAGAGAATGTGTACACCGTATCATATATTAGAAACAAATGTCTATCAAAGAGCCTAAAAGGTAGCATACCCTTTGAACAATGGACTGAAGAATGCCAGCAATCACACATTTTATGACATTTGGTCAGACAGCATCTCATTAGACAAGAGGTCAGGGAAAGGAAAATTTTATGAGAAATCTATCAAATACATATTTTATAGGCTACTCAAGTGAGTCTAAAGTCTATTGTCTATGGTATACAATGGCAAAAAGAGTCATAACAAGCAAAGATATAAAATTTACCAATGAATTTCTGAACAAATCAAACAATAATATCAAAATTATTGAAGATGACTGAACCTAAGATATTATTTTTATAGTTCTCTCTTTCTAGAAAGAGAACTATACAAATAAAGAAAAACAATTAGAAATCTATGAGCATAACAAGAAACAATTAGAACTCAAAGGAAACATTTTATCAGAAAACAAAACAAATGAAGATGAAAATGAGCAGAACAGAGAATTAACAGAAGTGAATAGAAATTAGAATATAAGAAGACTACAAATTACTCATACCAGACAGAAGGGGAGATCTAAAAAAGAATACAAAATGAAAACTATGGAAGAATCTGCCACAATCACTGAAAGTATAACGAGATTATACAGAGCCTTCAATATACAAAGAAGCTAAGGAGTCGAATGACTTAGTCAATGGCAAGTAACCATGGAAGAGGAAATGGAATCACTAAGAAAACAAAGTATAAAACTTATTGGAGCTACCCAAGGGTGACACCTATCAAATTCAAATGAATTTATAAATTCAAGGATAATAAAGCTACAAGAGGACAGGAAATACAAGCACACTTAGTGGCAAAGGGCTTTTCACAGCAAGCTTCATAGATTATGATGAAATATATTCCCTGTATAGGATTTTGACATAAGGCTGCTAACAGCTATAACAATAAAGAAGAATTGGTTATTACATCAATATGATGTGAAATCAGCATATCTACATAACTACCTGAGGGAAGAAATAGATCTAGAGTAACCAGAAGGATCTTCAAAGAAAGAGTAAAGAGCATTTATATTGTAAACTTAACAAAGTAGTCTATGGTCTAAAACAAAGTGTATGTTGCTGAAATGATCACTTTGAGAAATGCTTAGATGAATCAAACATCAAACGAATTATGCTTGATCCTTGCATATATAAACTAATAAGAAAGAAAATGATGTTAATCTTAGCAGTATACATGGACATCTTTGTAATCTCACAAAATAGACATATGAGAAAATTGGTAAAACATTCAAAATTGGTTTTAACAAACTTTTTGACATCAAAGACTCATTAGTCCTTAGGACTCATTTCTGAGCTACTAGGAGTAAGATTCGTAGATTGAAAAAACAGTATCACCCTAGATCAGGAAAGAAACATTGAAAAACTATTGGAGAGATTCAATGTAAAGGAAGTTGCTACTCTGATAAAATGTAAACAAAATTTGCACACAAATTAATGATACAGGTGAGAATTTACCCTACAGAGAGCTTAGGTGGGCATATCTGATACATATCTGACTTTGTTCTCTGTGATATCTCATTTGCAGTTAATAAACTTGCTTAATATTGTAACAAATATTCCAGAAAACACTGGAATTCAGCTAAAAGACTACTCTGTTATATGAAGTCAACAAAGCATTTAGGAATAAAATATACGAGATGTGCAGGAGACCTTCTCAGATGTTTGGATGCAGAATGAGCAATGGACAAAGAAAGTTGCAAGAGCACTATTGGATACATCATATTTATGGCAGGAGGATCTATGATCTGGAAGAGTACTAATTAATCCATAACAGCACTGAGCACCATGGAAGCAGTGTGTGTATCCCTACTGATATGCATGAGAGATATGACTTAGATGAGAGAGGTGCTGGAACAACTTGATCAACATGAACTACTGAAAGATCCTACAGTCATCAGTTGTGACAATCAGGCAATGATAGGACATACCAAAAGTTATGTAACAAATGATAGGACCAAGCACATAGCTGTGAAATACTACTTTATTTGAGAGAAAAATCACAGATGATACAATAGAGATGAATACATAGTTATCAGAACATAGCTGACAGCCTCACAAAACCACTAGGGATGGAACCCTTTTGACCAACCCACTGTAGTCACAAAGATATTATCGAGCAAAGGTAGAATCTCTTCAAGAGAGGGGATAATTAGGGAAGAAATGTAAAGAAAGATAAAGAAATAAATAAATATATACAATCAATCAACATTATTATTATATAAAGTGGCAGCACTTAGTGAGACCCTTAGAACACAAAGGGGTAAAAGAAAGAATAGAACTGGATTTAGAAGTGTGTACTATTATGAATGCGTAGATGTGTGTTAGAATAGTTATATAATGTTATATGTTAGAATAAAAAGTAGTGTAGATAAAGCTAGTCTCTTCATTTTCCCAACAGTAATCTTATTTTTAAATTTCAAAATTGAATAATTTACAGGTTGACAGTGCCTAGTAAATCTCAAGTTCCTGTGGTGACTAAATCTGATGAGCATCCATTAGTAACATGGGAAAGTGAAAGGTAGATACTAATTATATGTAATAGATGTATTGAGTGATTAAGCTTTACATATAGTATATAAATAATATATAAATTAATTTATCAAATTAATTTTTTGATTATTGAAATTTTATTTAAGTTAACAAAAACTTTTATTTGTAAAATATTAATTTTTCACACATCATCTTATAGATATTTATATATGTAGACCGATAACTTCAATTAATAATTTAAAGTTACTGAAATTTCACCACATTTTTAAGTCAAGAGATTAAAAATATACTATAATTTATTGAAGCCATAGAAGTTGCTGACAAATAGACATTTGCTTTTAACTTCTATAATTCAAAATCATCATGTAAAAAAATTATTAATTTTTGCTTTGTTCTCTTGAAAATTTCTGATATCATTAATATGAATTTTATCATTTAAACAAAAGAATAATGAGTCTATATTCAATATAGAAAAATTGGACAATGGAGAAGCTTAGAAATATTTTATCAATTTCATTTGAATAAAACTATTGTTTGTTTGAAGCCTTTCTGATTCCTTCTTAGATAGATTAGAAAGGCTTCAAACAATCCATCTGAGAATGGATCAAAAAGGCTTGAAAGTGTTTTTTGGCTAGAAAGGATTACTATTAATTTGATTTCTCATGTGATATGAAAGTAAAAATGAATTAACTTATATAAAACTAGCAATATTGGTTTTGTTTGTTTTCTCTAACTATGAATTATTATATATTCAATTATTACTTCTGATTATATCTTTTTGAACTAACTTTTAAAGTTTTTCTTTTTTGAAATTAAATCATTGGTTTTCTTTTTTTATAACATAAATTTTAGCTATGGTTAAAAATAAAGCATAACAGTTGGCTTAAAATAAATAGAAATCTAGTTTCTGGATACAAATTCACTGAGTTCAGCGTTAATAAAGTTCCTTTAGTATTAACACAAGCACTTTCGACGAGTGTATAACCATCGTCTTCAGGTGAAATAAACAAATTTTAATGAAATGAATGTACAGAATGTTCCAAAGGAACAGAATTTTTAAATTCAAACCAGGTGTCAGGAAATTCTGTTAAGAACATGCAAATAGTTTTTGATATGTTTGAATCTTTAAATTTTATGGTGTGAGCGGCGCATGCGTGGAAATGCTACCACATTGGCGATACAATGTTAGGCACGTTTCGTTTTTTAGACACCAATACAAGGCAATTCACACCCTGGGTAGATCGAGGGTGGGAGGGAACATTGCATGCTTCTGTAGTAGCCGTGAGAAGCACTTCCCAGATGAACACAGGCCTTCGATTGTTGCAGCATTTAAGTATTACTGTTCTGGGCCTAGCGGGTTGTAGCCTTGCTCAAGAACTTTTTTAGCAAGCTCTGTAGAACATCTTCCTTTGGCTATGTTGTCCTGATGCTCTGCAAGGCGGGAGGTGAGCATTCTTGTTGTTGCTCCTATGTATCTTGTAATAGCTCCCGTTGCCAGATTTTCTAGGTGTATTGCATAAACCCCTGACTTTTCAAAAGTGTTATCCTGTCCCGATTGTTGCAGATACATCTGCATAGGTTAGGTAGGGGGGTATGGGTAGAATGAAATTATGCCGTCAAAATATGCAGCTGATGCATATAGAGGTTGGTCCAAGATATGTCAATGATGACTGGATCATGGATGCTTTTTTCCTTTCTGTACAGTGTGGTACATGGGTATAGGGACTCTTACCTTACAGAGCACATGTTCATATATGCCATGCGTGAATCCAGCGAGAGATACTGCTACTCTGACGATGTCTAATTTGATTTTTGTTGCTAGCTGCGTCGACGGAAGTAGTAATGCCCTTCTAACGAGTGCAGCAATGGCAGCATTGATGTACCACGACGGTTGGAAAGCATCTGCTGGGATAATATACGTAAATTTGTTGACGTTAGATTTGTGATGAACAGCAAATTGCAGCCCTTCAATCGACTTTTGTATACACAAATCCAGGAACGTTATTGATTCCTCATGCTCCTTCTCCCAAGTGAAACTGATAATAGGGTATATGCATGTGAGTTGCTGCGCAAATTTGATAAACTGCTCCTCTGTATTCTCCCATATTATTAGGATATCGTTGACATAACGCAAGTATAGAGATGGATAACTGATGGTAAGAGGGGAGTTGAAAATTCTACACTCGATTTCTCTCATAACGAGCTCAGTCAAGACTGCAGATAGTGGGGAGCCCATAGGAACTCCTCGCTTCTGCAAGTAGACGCTCTTGTTGAAAAGGAAATAATTGTGCTCAGTGATGAATGTCAATGCATTTATGTATGTCTAGCACTTGTTGTATGTTAAATCCCATTTTGATGATCAAGGAGTTGGCAAGCATTATGGCTTCAAAAACAGGTACAGATGAATATAAGGACACCACATCCAATTTGTAGAAAGTATAGGAATCTTCATGTGTACCACTCATGTTGAAAACAATGGTGGACTTGGAAGCTACAGACGACGTGGTAACATATGGTGAGTCTGGAAGAAGTTCATGCAAAAACTTTGCGAGCGCCTTTTCTAGGAAATATGTAGGATGCGATCTCTTGTTTATCAGTGGGCGTAATGGCCAGTTTGCTTTATGCGTTTTCAGTTGAAAGAATAGCCTAGGGCATGCTATGTTGGTGGGAGGATCAAGGCACCCAGTTAGAGTCGAGGCTACTCCTGGTAAAGCTATTATTTTCTTTGTCCTTCACAGTATTGTTGGTGTTGGATCGTCATTTGTCATCTGTGATTGTGATTGAGAAAGGAACTCATTGGCTCTAAAGGTAAAATCATCCTCCATGCACAGAACAAATCGTTTGTCCTTATCAGAGACCAGAAGCCTCAAGTTATTTGTAGCTAGGAATTGCTTTACTGCTTGGCGGTTCATGTGGCACTTAGGCGTGCCAGACACTTGCTTTGCTGCTGCAAGCTTCATGACGATTTCTAACTTCATTTGTGGGTACGTGGCTGCTGCCTGGCAGGATTTCAATGCTGCTAATGCCACTGGGACTAACTGGTTAAGGTCAGTATTATTAGGGGGGAGATATATTTGGGTCCCCTTTGTAGTATGCCGTGCACTTCAAATTCACTGACTTAATGCTGAACTCAGTGAATTTGTATCCAGAAACTATATAAAGCTTAGTGTGAGTTTTTAAATTTAACTTTTTAAATAGAAATCTTCAATTTTAATAAAGAAAATGTTTTTAGAACCTCTTCCTTCATCTTCAGTTCCACAAATGAATTAAAATAATTAAAAAATAAATTAAATGATTTAAAACTTAGGACAGCACATATTGAATGTATTAAAATCTGAAAGTATCTTAAATTTTAAATTAAAAAACAAAGTTGAAAGTAAAAACAAACTCTAGTTTGTTTGTTAGTTTAAAATCACCACTTTTTTATTTTAAAAGTGGTGGTTTTTTTTTAATATTTAAAAACTAAATATAAAAATAATTAAATACAGTATATTAAAACTACAATTTGACAATAAAATAAACTATAGAAACTTACTCTGTCAATAATCTAGGTTTTGATAGAAATAAATGGTATTAATAACTTGGAGGTTTTTGAAATTCTTTTAATGACGTTGACAGAATAAGTTTTATGTAAATGAATAATATACAACTGGTGCTTCAGGTTACCAAAAATTATTTATCCATACAAAAAAATGTTTTTTGGCTGTACTAGAGCCATCATCAATTTGACATTTTGAATTTGATTTCTTTTTAGCATGCTCTGATATAGTAGTGAAGTGCTTATGTTAGGACTTTTGTGTGTCTGTTAGACATTGTGTTTCGTTCAATACATTCATTGCACATGTCTACATGCATGCGCAAAAGGGAACTGAACATTTTCGTTTACGGTCACTGTAAGCTACAGTAAAAAATTCTTCTGAACAACTACTTGATTTCAAGAATTTTTAAAATTTATTTTAAACAAAATTAATATTTGATTCACTTTTGTGGAGCATGCTATCAGATTGGCTTAACCAAGCTTGTTTAGAACAGCTTGTGGAACAAAATATTCTAGTATGATATTTTAAAAGATGACATTTGTTCATCTTTTAAAATAACGGTATTTTATTAATATTAAATCAGTTTTATATTATTCATTTATTGCCCCTTAGATTTACTCACTACCTTTATAGTGCTGAGTAAATCTAGGGGGTTGAAGAGAAGCAGGGGGCAATGGAGGCATGCCCAAATGGTGAACTTGTGTGAGGGTTCAGGTCACTGACAACCTTTCCCTTTCCTTCATTAAAATGGGTAAGAATAAACATTGTATTTAATGGTTTTCAGATGTTGAAAACGATGTATGGTAAGGACAGTGTGAGTGTTGTAGAAAAGTTTATGTATTTTTTAGCCTTTCTTACACAAGGGAAAATAGGTTGTGGGTGTTGGGTATAAGTTTATGGAACCAAGGGGGCAGTGGCTCAAAAAAGTTTGGGAATCACTTGTCTAAAGCATATTAAGTATGTAATTATGATTTAAGATTTTATAATTTTTAAAAAAATTTTATTGTGTAATTAAAAAAATTATTGTATTTTAGAAATATAACTGATAAAATACCTGCTGATGAGGGATGAAAAGGTCTAAAATAAACCAAAATTTTATACATGAGTGCAAATAAAAGTTTTTATTATTTTGAACCAATAGATTGATTTAATCTCTCTAATTTCATCTGCAAGTTAAATCAGTGTAATAAGTTCTATTAATAGATTGTAGTCACAATAGACTAATATTAATAAAATAATAATATTTAAAGGACTGGAAGCATTAATTAATTTATTAATATAAGTTTAATATTAGTAATGATACAAAAAAATAAAAGATTTAAAATTAAATTCGTATTTGAATTATTTAGAAGAAAAAATATATTTCTTACTAGACTATACATATACATGAGTCCATATCTTCTATCTCTTCACATGCTTATTGTAGAGGCATTAACAAGTCTATGGTGGAATCATCCTTTTATTTGAGGCTACTGTCCACCAACAAATGTAAAAAAGTTAAAGTCTTCTAGCAGTAGCACACACAATTCATAAAAATTAATAATTACATTAACAAAAATTGCCAGGACAAATTCATATTTAGAAGAAAAAATATATTTCTTACTAGACTATAAAAGTTGACCCTCCTATAACACTGTTGATTATTCTGTTTTATATGAATTTCATGTTGTACAAGCCACTTAGATTTTACAAATACATGTGCCGGGCTGTGAACGGCTCGTATATTTGTAAAATCTAAGTGACTCGTACAATATGGAATTTATATAAAACGGAATAATCAACAGTGTTATAAGGGGGTCAACTTTTATAGTCTAGTAAGAAATATATTTTTTCTTCTAAATATGAATTTGTCCTGGCAATTTTTGTTAGTCATATTTGAATTATTTTATCATGATTCAAATGCATTAAATTAAAGACCAAATGTGAAGATTTTTATTATGATGACAAAAACTTAGTCAAATTCCACATGAAGAGTATATATACAGATAGTTGTATATTATTAGATAAGTCAACATGTCTTTTGTATCTAAACAGAACATTCATAATACAAATTATATATTTTCAAAATAGTGAAACAATTTATTATTAACAACATTGAAAGAATAAAAACTTTGTTTACTGATATTTTATAAATACTGTAATGATTGTAACTCTATCTTTATGGAAATTATTTTTGATCTCTCTTCATATATCAATTTGTCAGAGTAACCAATTGTTTGATTTTTTAATAACATTTTCAACTGAAGATATCTCCAAAGTTGGATTAATAAGTAATTTGTTACTTACATATTTTGTAACCTTAAAATATACCGTGTTTCCCCGAAAATAAGACATCCTCAGAAAATAAGACCTAGCGCATTTTTCAGAGCAAAAATTAATATAAGACACTGTCTTATTTTCGGGGAAACACGGTAGTAACATTGTTTAGTCATTTATAATAATTTTTTTATTTATTGTCTGTAATTTAGTATCAATCATGAATATTTTGTAATTCTTTTAGTGCTTTTTCTTATTCAGCTACAAATAGATTTAAGCCAGAAAACCCTTTAGATAATTGATTTAATTTTTACTTAAGCAGTGATGATGACTATGAATTCCATTCCATGAGTAAATCAACCACAAGAGAAATAACTCAACAATTAATCAGAGATGGATATAATTTGGATCTGACTCCTGATGATGAAGACCTTGACTTAATACCACCAAAGCCATTGAATCAACGATGTGCTTGTTGTAATATTAATTATTTATGTTTAATTCAATAATTATTACATTCCAATTTAAAAAGTGTTTACTTGTTAAGTATGAAAAATTTTATATTTTTATGATATTATATTATTGAAAAGTAAAAGTTTGTGAATTCTTTTTATATTATTAATCAAATAAATGATTTAAACTACAAAATTACTTCAGAAAATATATGAAGGATATATTTTAAATTTTGAAAATACTGGCACTTTAGTAATAATGAAAATAATACTACTGTTTTTTTAAAATATTCAAAACAAGTACCCAGAAGAAAATATAGCAAAAATTCCAGAAATATGCATTAATGTATTTATTAACATAATTAGCTTAAATTTAGTTTTTTAAAGTATTTTCAAAATATATTACAAAGTGATATCAATACTTTAAGAAAATATTTTATTTAAGTAATATAATTAATGAAATTAATTTTTTAATATGGTGCTGTGATAAATTTATTTGAACAAAAATAATTCTATCATTAATTATAAAATTAATCAGTATTAAAAGAAAAACAATAATTGAAAGTTTTATGTATAGAGATTGTGTCAAAATACTTTACCATGTTTGCATATAGAAAATTATTGAATATTTCCTGTTTTTTACATTTCCATTTTAAACTTTTTTTTGTTTATTCTTTTCTTTGAAATGAAAATCAAATATTATATTTAATATAGTGTTGATTTTAAATTATATTTTTTAAGGAAATTAACGTTATAATTAGTTATTTTTATGCTCTATGCAATGTTTCATTTACATAAAAAATTCCTCAGGTTTTCATTTTTTTTTTGTAGACATCTAAACAAATCCTTAAAGAAAATGGAAAAAATTTTTTAATTGTATAAAAAATTAAACCAATAAAATTACAAAAATGAACTAAACAATGAGGTATTCAAATTAATACAGTAAAATAAACTTTGTAAATTTTCAAAAATTCATATGGAAAAATTTACTAATATAACAAATGTTTGGATATTTTTCTTTTACTAAAAATGTTTTCATTAATTCATTATCTTAAGTAAATTCAAAAATATTTTAAAATAATATTATTAAATTAAATTATTTTAGTTCTAAAGTAGTAATAAGATAGGAAATTTGTATAAATAGAGGAATAACAACAATTTTATACTAGAATCACTAGAACTGAGAAATAAAGAAAATAATGATATGCAAAGATATCATACTAAACTTATCTGCTTCTTTTAAATCTTTAGCTGATAGTATTTATAAAAATAACAAAATATTTTAATATACTCCAAAATCTTTCAAAATAATTTTAATATTACTGTAATAAAACAACAAACTCAGTAGCTTGATATTTTAATTAATGAAAGATAATTTGCTGGAATATCTGTCAGGCTATATTAAGGCTAATTTAATAATTAGATATAAAGTAATTTGACTGAAAATTAATTTATTTCTAATAATTAAATTTATCATGAGATGATTGCTTAACTGCCATCTCAAATTAAGTATAATTATTAAATTAACCTTAATGTAGCCCAAATAATCCGGCATATCATTTGGCATTAACTATAATAAAAATTTGCATAAGTTATTATTATTATTGCTTTCTTTATATTAAAATAGTCAATTTTAATTATATTATTTAAATAGTTAAAAATTGAATAAACCAATTATATAAAGAAAAGAAAATTAATTAATGGATAAAGTACTAACAAATTTAACACATTTTAAAATGTTTATTAAAGTATTATTAGTTTTTAACAAGATATTTGTCTATTGATTCTTATTGTAATGATATGTTTCAATATTTATTGTAGTTATAACATTAAATTATTCTTAAAAATTAGAAAAACTATTTAATATCTTTTTTTCAAAGAGATTAAATTAAATCTTTATGCACTAAAAAATTCTAAATTACAAAATATAAAATAATTATCAGTTATATACATTTTTGAAACATTTGAAAACATATAATCAATTATTATTAATATTTAAAGTGATAATTAAATATAATTTTGTAAATAAATAAATAAAAATAACAATAATTATGATTCTAATATTGTTGCTACTAAAATATTTATTTACAAAATTATGGATTGAAAATTAAATATTATAAAATAAAGATTTTTAGTTACTAATAATCTACATTTAAATTTTGAGAATATTGTTGAGATTTAAGAGAGAGAATTTTTAATAATTATCATCCATATTTGAAAAAATATAATATAAAAATTCATTTGCCTAATAATAAGAAAATATCATATAAGTATCTACAATAAAAAAAAAAAAAACATTGACAACAAAGACAACAATTTTTAATATCAATGTGTGTGAATTTTTAATTTCAATATAATATGTATTGTATATATACAGGGTATCTCCTATGTTTTTGAGCAAGATTTTGTCAGCTGATTTATGGGGAACATTGAATACAAAAAGTATGTTTTTGTATTCAATGTTCCCCATAAATGTTTTTGATTCAGTCTTGGTTTCAAGATATACACAAAAAGTTGTCAATTTTGTAAAATACAGTCGACCCCCCTATAAGATCATAGATACATTCCATTCTCTAGGAATCCGATTTCTTACCAGTCCTTCCAATCACAGCCCGACACGTGTGAAGTTCACAGACTACGGCTGTTTGAAAGGTTTTCTTCCATAAAATTAATCGATTCTAGACTAATCCGACTCAACATTTCTAAAATACGTATATTTTTTTGGGAATAATCNTGGGTTTAAAAAAAATGAGATTTTTTAATGTATATTTTCTATAATTTGATCTGTAAATGCAAAAAACTAAACTTATCAAATATCATCTCTCTATAAATAATTTCAATGTTTACTTATTGATATCAGATTTGTTAAATTTCACAGGATCATATTATTTTTCAACCACAGGGTAATAAAGCTTTGTTTATTTTCTCCCATGAACATAATAGACTATGCTGGTTTTCCACTATGAAGTACAACAAATTGCTAATCATTTTATTACTTTGTTTTCAAAAACTCCCTTCTCTGTCAGTAGTGGGTTAAATGACTAACAAATTGTTTTCTTGCACTCAGAAATGTTTTCTTTTAGATTTAACAACTAGTGTTGCCAGTAATGAATTATCCAGATTTGAAAACATATAATATAAAAATTCATTTGCCTAATAATAAGAAAATATCATATAAGTATCTACAATAAAAAAAAAAAAAAACATTGACAACAAAGACAACAATTTTTAATATCAATGTGTGTGAATTTTTAATTTCAATATAATATGTATTGTATATATACAGGGTATCTCCTATGTTTTTGAGCAAGATTTTGTCAGCTGATTTATGGGGAACATTGAATACAAAAAGTATGTTTTTGTATTCAATGTTCCCCATAAATGTTTTTGATTCAGTCTTGGTTTCAAGATATACACAAAAAGTTGTCAATTTTGTAAAATACAGTCGACCCCCCTATAAGATCATAGATACATTCCATTCTCTAGGAATCCGATTTCTTACCAGTCCTTCCAATCACAGCCCGACACGTGTGAAGTTCACAGACTACGGCTGTTTGAAAGGTTTTCTTCCATAAAATTAATCGATTCTAGACTAATCCGACTCAACATTTCTAAAATACGTATATTTTTTTGGGAATAATCCGTATAAACTACGCTATAAACAAAAAATTGTACGATTACTTACCGAGTGTGCACNGAGTGTATTCAAAAATTAAAAAACTTTTCAAAGCTTCATGGCAATCGTACTATGCCACAAACCTTCGCTGGAGTATATTAAACAACTTCCCAAAGTTTCACGCCAACCGGATAAACGGTGTGGTAATGCATGAATGACACACACACACACAGACAGACAACCATACATTCATTTTTATATATATAGATTTTAATCGCCGTTGAATAAGGAATGTTTCTTTCACACGAAATGTATAAAATTACAGTACTGTATTAGACTTACGGTAGCTAATTTACATACTGTACAGACGATAGTTCGCCTAAACTCTCCGTAGCGTAGCGCTAGACGGCGGAGAGCATATATACATAATTATAATAAAGTTACAATAAATTAAGTTAATATATAATTATATATACAGTACCTAATTTATATATAATTATATGTACAGACGAAACTAAACTCAATTTACCCGCCTAAATGTTCGTAGCGTGGCACTACAGACGGCGGGAAAGTAGTTTGGCTGCCCGATGACGTTTTACGTAATTATAGGAGTTTTTTTTATTTTTTTTACGGATACCGTCACAATTTTTTCGCAGTTTTATAGGAATCATAATTATAGGGGGGTCTACTGTATTATTTTTTAAATATCACCAGTTCTAGTCAACCAATTTTAATAATTTTTTTTCTTTAATGAAGATGTACTTTTCTTGTTGAATATATATTTTTTTAATAATCTTGAAAATATGGTGTTTTATGATTAGTGAGAACTTGTACAGGTATTAGGAAGATCTAAAACTAAAAAGTGTTACAGTTAATGGATTAATGATTAATCCATTTAACTGTATCTTTAAATTTTTATGATTGTCAACTTGGGTCTGGAATTAAATTTTCAAATAAAGTTTTATTATTGCAATCGATTACACATCTCAGAAGAAATAAAATGAACTATTATTTCTAAGTCAGTTTGGTGACCTTTACCACATTATTTCTTCTTCATTATTTTTACCTTGAAATGTTTTTCTTACACTATTGTGAAGTTTATCTCAACACAAACAAAAAATGATCTCATTGATTTTTGGACTGCAGTTTGAAAAAATTGTAAACCTATAAATTCCCTCTGTCATCTGTCAAGACTAGATATGGAAAGCTTAGCAGCTTAACATTTATTATTCCAATTAACTATATATAAACTTCCAGTCTAGACTGGATTTCAATTCAAAAATTTTCCCAGAATGGGGTTACATAGATGACCAGCATCACCCTGTTGTTATCAGGAAAAGTATGGTATACAGGGGCAAGACAGTACTAATTTGATATAAAGAACATACAGTATTTTAACTCTCATCCAAGTGTGTCAAGTTTTGTGATGTCACCTGACATGTTGTATCTGCTGGATACATAAAGCAAATTAATGAAATTTTTATATTTTTACTGATATATATACTTGACGATTATATCTTCAATTTCTACATTTTCTCTACCATCTAACAGTATAAAATTCTTGTGGGTTTAAAAAAAATGAGATTTTTTAATGTATATTTTCTATAATTTGATCTGTAAATGCAAAAAACTAAACTTATCAAATATCATCTCTCTATAAATAATTTCAATGTTTACTTATTGATATCAGATTTGTTAAATTTCACAGGATCATATTATTTTTCAACCACAGGGTAATAAAGCTTTGTTTATTTTCTCCCATGAACATAATAGACTATGCTGGTTTTCCACTATGAAGTACAACAAATTGCTAATCATTTTATTACTTTGTTTTCAAAAACTCCCTTCTCTGTCAGTAGTGGGTTAAATGACTAACAAATTGTTTTCTTGCACTCAGAAATGTTTTCTTTTAGATTTAACAACTAGTGTTGCCAGTAATGAAGTCTACAGTTTTATTTTTAATAATTAAAGAAATATTGATAAAATTACCAAATAAATGTTTGGGTCACAATTACTAAATGGTATTGTTATATTAATAAACATAAATTTTAATTGTTGCAAAATTAAAAGTATTAAATTTCTTATCATGCTCTAATCACAAGATAGTGAGATGACAACATCAAAAAGAGAAAATTGCATTGTCAAAAAAGCTGCAATAACTTATTTGAAATGGATTGGGATTGGTCCTGTCATTGAAACCAGGAGAAAAAGATAGAATGTGTAGTATTTTGGTAAAGGTTGAATATTCTACATTGTTTTTTTTTTATTGAATTGCAATTGTTGCACATAACAATCACAAGAGTATGGCACACTCACGCTGCGAGAGAATTTACTGCAAGTGGTAGTAAGATATTTTTCATAACATTTCTCTTAAAAAAAAGTCATAAACTTGAAAACCACTGTCAGAATCATTTCAGAACAAATGAGGAATATTACAAAGCCCACAGTTCAATTATTTATTTATTTATTTATTTATTTTTGAGAAATTGAATAAAAAAAGCCATGTATCTGCTGGATAAATATGTGACAAAGTAAGAGTTAACATAGATAAAATTAACAAAAATCGAAATATATAAAAATTAAACTTAACAAAATAGTTATAAAATTGTTAAAAATAGATTAATGTTTACTTTCCATGCATTAAGAAATGCATTTTTAAAATTAATACATATCTTTTTTTAAATTTATTCTTTTTTTCGAGATTTTTTCTTTGTTTGGGTTGTTAGCAGGAAAAATTATTGTCACTTTATCAAAATATATATTGACCTGGCCTCATATGCCTGTGGACAAGAATGTACTCTGTTGTGATTCCAGTTGGTGTTCTTTGAGTCTGAAGGTTAGATATCTTAATATGTATTCTATATATAGTTTTTCATTATTGAGTAAGCCAACTATTGGAGAGATTTCAGGGATTCTTTTATTATCCAGTTTCTTTATTATTACAAAGTAGGTTATATATAATGGATTTCTCTTCTAAATTAATTTAGTGTTTCCTATCTGCTGGTATAGTTTAAGTATCTGCTGAATGTTCAGAATGTTCACTTGTGTTCAGAGTTTGAACTGGGATATGAAAGTTAAGGTTACATTTTATAGGAAAAAGGATCATGTGAACAGAATGGGATAAGTATTGAATGGAATAATGGATTTCTGGTAATTAGTATGGATTTCATCATTCCTTAGTATGAAGGGCCCTATGTGGTTATTACATTATTCCAATTGTACTTATTAGAAGGAACCAAGCCATGTAACCAGTCTATAATGGTTGTTATTAACTAGTTAAAGGAAATGTATATCTGATTTTTTTCTGTAAATCATAAGTATGTCATCAATATATCTTTTGTACATGATGATTTCATTCTTGAACTGAGAAATGATATACAATTCTAACTTTCTAATTACCAACTCATATAGAATGTCTGCAATAGATTTGGGAATTTGATTCAGTATTTAAACAGAATTGTTAGAAAATGAGTAATGTTTAAAATTAAAATTAATTTATCTGTTATATAATAAGTGATTGTTTCGTTACTAATATTTGAAAAAATTTTTATAAGGTTATTAGTATTCCACAGTTTTGTAATTAGGTGTTTTCAAATTTAAAGAAGGATGAATAGCATATTGAAATATTGCTGTTTTTCAAATATATAGTTAATTTTATTGTCAGTCACCAGCTGTAACTGTTTTTTTTTTTTTTTGTAAAAAAAAATTAACAAATTAATATAAACTATAATATAAACAAAATAGCACTATTTTAGCATTAATATAATTATTGTATTTTTGTTAGACATGATTAATAAATTATATATATTGATATATTTTACCATAATTCTCATTAAAAAGCAATTGTGATATTTTCCAATATTTAATTTAGTTAGTTATATTTTATGTATTTATTTGATATTCTTGGTGTCTTAAATACATTAAATAATATAGAAATGTCTTACATGAAGAAAACCACTTAATTTTGTATATTTTTATTAAAGTATATCATTATTTTTCTTCAGTCTGTATCAACTAGTTATCAAGTTTGATTTTGAAATTTGAAGAAAATATTTAGGCCATTCTGTGTAAGTTGCTTTTGTCTTATTTGCAGCATGATTACAGACATAAAATAAATATTTCAAAAAAATTCTTCCAAAATACATTGTTATTTCATGTTTTAATAATAACACTAATTACCATATTTTATGGCATAGAAGACTAAGAACTTTTTTTTTTCTTTTTTTTGTTAAAAGTCATGTTTCAAGTTAAAAGTCAAAGACTAACACACTAATAAAACATTTATATTGTTCAATTAAGCATTTATTTATTTATTTTTGCTATACAGTAGCTACGTAGCTTTTTCATGTATTCATGTGAAATATTTTATAATAAATTTTAATTGTAAGTGACTTATTTCAAACTCCTCTTTTTCTATGATAAATAAAAGTGTGTATTCTAATTTTACTTTATTTTAATTAAAAAAAAGTAAAAAATAAAAAATAAAAAAATTGAGATTTAGTGCCAAAGGTATGAGATGGCTTAAATACACTGAATACATTTTTCCTAAATATTTTACACTGTAATGGGGTGTGTCTTATATGCTGTAAAATATGGTATTCCTTAATTATGATAAATTTTAAAATTAAATTTTGTACAGTAAGATTAATCAGTGCAATCAGAAGAAAGTAAAAATCTAATAAATTTCTTTAAAATATAATATACATATTTTATTATAGTAAAATTTGCTTATTTTAATCATGAGTATTGTTATAAGTTAATGTTATCGAATTATAAAACATTGCTTATTGTAATAAGAGTTTTGTTACAGTCATTATTATTTGCAAGCAGACATTTTAAAGGCAAGCAGACATTTTTAAACTGTTTTTTTGCACTATGAATATTTTGCTGATAATGCCATCATTGTAAATGTTAACTGATGCTTTAAACCAGTGATTCTCAAAGTGGACAATATGCCCCCTTGTGGGCGATGAGTAAATCTAGGGGGCGCTGGAGGCAGGGTATTGAACGGTGACCAAAGGCAAAATTGGGGGTAACTGAAAGCCATTCTCTTTCGTCTGTTAAACAGATAAGAGGAAACATTGCATCGAATGGTTTCCAGATGTTGAGAACAATGTACGGTAAGGGCACAAAGTGTGAGATTCATATAAAAGTTTTCCTAAGAATATTTCCAATCATTTCTCACACAATAGAAAATGGGTTAGGGAGCATTGGGTATAACTTTATGGAACAAAGGGGGCAATGGATTGAAAAAGTTTGGGAATCACTGCTTTAAACATTTATCATTTTAGTTACTTGCTCACTCACAGTACAGTAATATAAATTATAGACATTTTGTTGGGATATCCCAACTTGCTGGTGTTTAGAAACAACTTGGCATAAAACTATAAAATATAATATTTATTTATAACACTGACTCCAATATAAATAATTTTTGTGATATAACCAAGTATGAGGTGTGGCTTCTTCCGTCTGGATGCTAGGACCTCTAGTCTGAAAGTGAGAGTTTCTTCCTTTGTGTCTTCTTGTCCTCCTATGCAATTGTTCCGACCCCTTCACATCTTTTTGGGAAGTAGTTCACGACCACAACAATTTCTTACTTCAATTATATGCTAAGTAGCACTGAATGAATTATATTAATTAATTATTTTAGCACATTCTTTTCATGTCAATAAAGACAGAATTTCCATTAATTGTAGTATTATTTATAGGAATGGGCCAAAGAAAGTTTCTTGGCCAAATACTGACTAATTATTTGATGATGTTACTGTTACCAAATATTCTTACTTTTCCTGACTACCAGATATTAAATATTCAGCTGAATATCAGTTGATTTACTGTATTTGGAACTGCATGAAGCAAAAGACTTAGAGAGCGATGTTTTCCAAACTTCTTTGGATTACTGTTCTCTTTTAGTAAATATATTTCATTAGTGTTCCCCATAAATCAGTGAAAAATGATACATTGAAAATGAAATATTAGTAAAAATTTTTATTAACAAAAGAAAAAAAATAGTTGTCTAAAAGTATCTTAAAATACAGTACTTTGATTAATTAAAGTAAAAATAATTAATGCTGAACCTGATGTGATGAGACTAATTTTTTCACATTTGACTCAATATTGAGCAGCATTTTTAAATAATCACATTTGACTATTTGTAGACAGAGTAAGATGACAAACTTTTATCATTTTAAATAATTCTTTCAAATATTGCATGAAGAGAGATTGATAATTGACAATGTTTTCACTGCAAAACTTTTGAAATAAAATTATGATGAAAGTTTTGTTGATATTGCAAGCATTAGTGTAACAGTTAAACTTGTTTAAATGAAAGAATAAAGTTTGTCCTACCATTTCAATAAAAAAGCTTAACTTTGCCATTGTAACCCATCTCTGTATATTTTTCTATATACTTATTTCGAAAAGAATTTTATAAATATGCAGAAGAAAATATAAAAATTAAGTTGAGATATTTAGCTACATCAGAGAATCTTTCCTATGTTATGCTAATATTTGTTTATGAATAAATATTTCCCAATGCATAGTTTGAGTATTTACTTTAAAAATGTCATTTAGGGTAATTATTCTGTTTTCTTGCTTTGCAGTTGCTGTTGCTAAGTAATTTTTATCACTTACAGCTGAAATCTTGCCTTTTTCAATATGTCCCATGATGAAAAACAACTCGTTTACATCAATACATAACAGAAATAAACATTTGAAATATGTGGCAGTTATACTGTAGTACTGTATGACCTCTATTGTTAGAAAATCAAACCTGTTTTTATATTTTTGGGACAGCGAGAAACTTGATTTTGATTTAAATTAATTTATTGTTTGCACAACTTATTTGCATAAAAGGTTATGCCTTTATATTTATGGGATGCACCTATGTGAATAAAATGTGCCACAGAGAATGATAGTCAATACAATAAAACTTAATATGCATATGCTTTGAAAGAGCTGCTGCTGCCACATGTAGTGATCTGGATCTCCACTGCTACACGGTCTAGATCACTGAATTTGTCAATGCAGCCCCATTCTTCGCCTGCCTGATCACCTAATATCACCTTTTTGAATCATTTTCTTTGCGGATAGGTCAAGGATTGCATGTATGCTATGAAAGTGCCAGACATGAGAGCCCAACTTACAAGAATTCTGGATCCATTAACAGAATGATTCCTAACATGCTGGCTCGGACATGAACCAAAATCAAGTACAGACTGGATGTTGTATTTGCTACTCCAGGAGCACATGTGGAAGTGTATTGAATTAATATAGTAAGTAACTTTTATCAGGTGCACTTTCTATTACCATTGTCTACAGTATTGTATTCATGTTTCTTTTCCCAAAATTAATTCACAAAGCTACGGAGATTCAAAGAGAACACACTATAAAATACAAATGTTTCTGAATTTATATTTCTAAAAATAAAGTGATATCAATAGAGAAATACCATGCACACTTGATTAGACCAACAAGTTTGAATTACCCCATAGGCTTGAATAAACCCACATCTCAGTTGCATTTAAAAAATAAATTGACATGTGGATTTATTTGAATCACATTTTTTAAGCTATGCATAAATAAATTATATAAAATTGTAATTGTATAAAATTGTTGCATTACATTTTATCTGTTGTTACTTTTTTAGAACTAGTTTCTTACTTACTTTAATGATCCCTGCAGTCACTCACACTAACATATACAAAAATTAATCCACAACCAGACAGATTTAAAAATAATAGATCTATTCAAGTACAAGTACACATGATAATTTAAAATGCATATAATAAGATAATTTTTTGGCATTATTCAAATAATGCCAAAAAATTATCTTATTATATGCTAAACTTTGATTTTCTCATTATTAAAAGAAAATAATTATAATAATAATAATTATAATTATAATAATACAAGTATTATTATAATTATTTTCTATTTATATACTGTTGTTGAATAGTGGAAATTACAGAGAAAACGGTTTGAATTCAGGTAATCAAAAATATTTGGGAAATGTTTATAGTCTGTAATTGGACCATCCTTAAGTACATACAATGAATATTATGAAACAAAAATAAAAATACAGAACCTATATTAAAAAGTTCTATATTCTTATTTTTGTTATGACATTCTGTTTGCATATTAACTGAAAATGGCTCATTAAAAATTCAAAACATTTGTTAAATCTTTTTGATAATGTGAATTCACAAAACTTTTATCTTACTATTTTTTTAATGAAATTAAAATATACAAGAAATTATTTGGACATTACTCTGAACTTTTGTGAATAAATAATAATAATAATGTCATCAGTACATTTTATTAAAATAGATTGATCTTATTGTTCATATTATTTCATTTCATCAAAGGAAGCCATTTATATTGACAAATTTTATCAATTATATCATAATAGATTTCTCTTAAAAATGCATAAAAGTTTCTTTTTAGAATAAATATTCTAAAATTTTAAATAAGTATAGTCCTAATAATCATTTAAATATAATTATCTTAACTCTAAAAATATTAAACAAATTATTAAACATTTAGTCAAACAAATTTAGTGTGTATGATTTTGTGTTAATGTGAAATACAATATATTCCACATAATATTTATTAATTATATAGCTATATTACAAGTAATGTACAATACATGAAATTTATATGTTTGAAAATAATAAGTTTAACAGTAATTCATAATATCTTTTTCATTGAAAATTTCACTGTAGTTAGCATATGTATCAAAACAAAATCTTAATACTTCATTATTTATAAAATGATTTTATACAGTTATTCTAGAAGACATTGCAAACATTATTTTTTACAGATCTGTTTATTTAATATTGAACATTTTTAGAATAATTTAGAAAATTTGATATATTAATTTTGTCTATAAGTAAAACTCTAATTTTCTTGTACATTCTATATATATATATATATATATATACTGTTTTAATTTTTATTAAATTTATAAATAATTAGTATTATTATTATTTTAGGCATATCATTACAACTTTATTGCATGGCTAACTTAGCTGGGCACATTTTCATCAGCATATATTCATTTTATAAATGATATCATTGCTATCTAACATTATTAAGCATAAAGTTTTGTTTTATTTCAATACAATTTGATCTCATTTATATGTTGAAATATTGATGGTTTTTGATAAACCATAAGTCATATGGTAAATAATATCAAGTGGAAATTCTAATGTTTATATCATCCACTCAAATAGACTCAGACCAAGATACAGATGGAAAAAGTGTGTTTGAATCTGGGTAGGATCCAAATATACTTTTTCAACCCATTGCATTCATTGTGTAACACACTGAATGTTCTGATGAATTGTTCTTAGTATATCAAATACTCTAACAATATATCTATGATTGCAGATTCATAATCTGTACAGGACCAAATATACTTTACCAATTTTTAATATTTATTTTTTTTTTTTTTAGTTAAACATTTACATATAAATTTTGTTTAGCAATAAAGCTAACGATTAATTAGCTTATGAACATTGTATCTGTTATGTCATCAAAATAACAATTTATTTATTCAGAAATATAAAATTCACGTTTCTTTTTTAAAAACAGGAATTTTAAGTTTTTGGAGACAAAATATGTCAGATGTTTTCTTATGATTTCATGTAGTTTTCCAGTGAAACTGTATAAAAGAAAGTGATTTTTTGCTCCATTCATGACAAGAGTTTACAAGAAAAGGTTTGAAAAAAATACTTTTATGTTTTATTCATAGAAAATCAGTATTCCTCTTTTCTAAAGGACTTTATTTGCTTTATAAATTATTTTTATATCTTTATTTTACATTGAATCAAGTAGATATTTAAAATAAAATTGTATTTTTCAATAAATATGAAATAAAATGCAAAACTGTTTTAGTTGAAAGTTTTTAGCAAACTTCAACTGTAATTTGAGAAACTATTTTAATTTGTTTTAATTAGTTTGTTTAATTAATTAACAGTTTTGGTTAATAATTTACAATTACATAAATAATTCTAGTATGTAAATGTTAATTTTTTCCTGCAAAATTTAAATAAGGAACACAGATATATTTGTTAGTTATCTGAAAATTTACAAAATGTCATATTCTGATGACATGTAAGTCTACAGTTAATTTTTACAAACAAATTTATTTTTGTTTTAATTGGTGTACTATTTGACTATAAATGATATATTATTTTCTCTATAAACTTGTAAAAAGTTTGGAAACAAAAAAAAAGTATTTTTATATTTTAAAGTCTCATTTTAACATAGAAAAATAACGACAAATGTTTGGGACATATCAAGTTTTATATGCCTTTTCAAGTAGATAAACATTCCCTATGATAAAAATGAGTTATTCCAAACAGTGATATCAGTGTGCAGATAAGTTAAAAGTTAAAAAAACAATATCTCTTATTTTTTGTTTAGATGTCTTCATTTTATTAATCATGCATTTTTATGTAAAAAAATATTTTTAATGTATGGATTGTTTCCAAATCCACTTTTTAATTATATAAAATAATAAAAAGTTAAATCCAACAATGAATAACAGAATTTGTATTTTCTTCTAATTTTTTAGAAGGACCACTGCCTCTTGTACAGATTTTAAAAGTAACTGGAATTTTTTGCATTTGTGAAAGTGCCAATTTTCAGATTTATGGTAGTATTCTGTTTTTTAATTTTATTCATTTATGTTTCTGTAAAAAATGAGTTATTTTTGTTTTGTTGATTTTAAATTAGTTGTAATACAGTCAATTCCGCTTAATTGGGACATATCAGGGATTGACTAATTTGTCCTGATAAAGCAACTGTCTCAATAAAGCAAATTTTAAGGGAACAGATGAAATCTTAAATGAAAAATGGACTATAAAGACAAAAACTATTTATTGAAAAATATAATTAATATTCAGTCTTATGTACTGTACAAACATGTGTAGCATATGTGTAATTAGATTTAAGTTCAAAATTAACATATTAAAATATAATCATTAAATTAAAAAAAGAACAGTTATTTTTGCCAAAATTTATTGAATGTTTCTTGAATGCTTTCTCTTTATACCTTGCAAGTAGATAAAATTGGCAGGCACAAGCAGGGCTGTGGAGTTAGTAAAATACACTGGACTCCGATTCTGACTCCTGATAATTTTAGTAGGCCAACTCCAACTCCCAACTCCAGCAAAATTACCCTACAGCATAAATTACCAGGTCATTTTATGGGGGGCAGAGGTGTTCATAGAAGTTACTCTACTCTGAACTCTGAAAGGAGTCCAGAGCATTTACCCAAATACTTTTATAGTTAGTATTTTTAATATTTAACTTACATTAATATTTATTTGTATAAAAAAAATTAATTTTTAACAAATATTTAATAAGAGGTAAAAGGGGAGCAATAAAATTCTGCATCTACATATCTTTATTCTACAGCTTTTGCACTTTAATTTCACCTTTCCAGAAAAGTTAGTCCAACTAAAAAGTGTGTGATCTAGCTACTTCAGCAGCCCCTTGTTCAGAAAAGAAAAATATATACTCTGATAAATTAGTCTGGCTCATTCAGAAAAATAGAGTACTTATTTAGAGCAGGGATAATAAAGGAATGAATCAAAAATACTCAAATTCAATTGGGTCAAAATAATTTAACTACTAAACACAAATACTACAAAGAATGCTACATATTTAATAAATTAAATTGATGCATTTTGTATTTAAAATAAATGAATTATAACAAAATATAAAATAAATTTTCTTTCATTTAAATATAAAAAATTTAATTTAATTTAAAATGTCGGAGTTGACACATTTCCCAACTCTGACTCCTCTAGCCAGAAATTCCTCCTGACTCTGACTCCACAGACCTGGGCATAGACATGCATCACAGAAATGGGGCATCTTTCATTTTCATCTTGCATAAAATATCGTTTTAATTCAGGAATAAATTATCTTGCTTCTGAGTCACAAGTCTTGATTAATAGTATTGTCTCATTATTATCCTTATCTTCTTTAGTTTTGACATGTTTTTCCAAAACAACTTGTTCAATAATTGTATTTAGACAATCCTCATTTTCATTGCAACATGGAAGATTTTTGTCAATGTATAAAAATTCTTTGTGATATGTCTAGAAATACCCAGGCCTGTGCTGCCACGCATCCTTACTGATGTATGTGATTATATGCATGTATAAGCTGTCCTAATAAACAACAGTTTCAATTAACTGGCATCCCAACTAAACGGAATGTACTGTATATGTATTTTTAGTACTAAAATGAATTTAGGATGATTCTGTATTCCATTGTTTATACATTTACAAAAGTTTCTGAATTATAGTTTACAAAAGTACTAACATAAAATAATTTTTCTTTTCATTTTAGAGGATTTATAAGTTGAATTTTTCATTTGATATTACTTTTTGTAAACTAAAATTTCATTGTCTTGTGTACAAAGAAAATGTTCTTAAAAAAATCTTAAATGCACAATGAACCTTGTATAGAGTATAAATATATACTTACAGTTTCATATTTATATCTATAAATGTCCAATTATTTTAATTAAATCATTATTACAGACAAAATATATTATTAAAGTATTTGTTTTTCTTGTAAGGATGATGGAATTTGTATATATACATATATTGTATATAAAATTTAAATAATTTCCTAAACAGAACATGCATTTTTTTTAAATAAATGCAACTTTAACATAATTTATTGAAATATCTTTTAAGTTTTTGTTTTAAAGTTGTCAGTTATAATACTATAAAAGAAAGTATAAAATCATACAAATATTTTATCATAATATTTCATAAATGCAATGATGATATAAAACAGATGGGCAACCTTTTTCTGTGTAAGGGCCACATTTAAAACTTTTGAACTGATGCAGGCTGCACACAAGAAAAAATTATTAAAAAATGCTCATAAATCACTATTATTTATTCATATATGATTACAAATTAACATAGGTTTATTTAATGTGATTTCTGGACTGATGGAAATGTAATATATCTGAAATATTTAGCTGAATATTAGTCACTGCTATTTTAAGTTATTTCAGAGATGCAAATCTGTTATCTGATTTGTTGTTTTACTTTTTACTAAATTCATTGCGGGGAAAAAATTGGTCAAACATGTAAGTTGTACAAAATAACGTTAGAATGTTTGCTGCATACTTAAGTTGGGAAATAGATTTTTATTAAACATTTATCAAAGAAAATCAATCAGATTTTTCTTCAAAAGTAACTTTCAAATCAAAATTACTTTGCAAGTCTATTATCTCCAATTGAAGTTCATTTGGTACATTTTCTATATTTACTGAAAAAGGTGCTGTATTATACTGTTCTCAGCTAAGGAATAGTATAATAAATATAGATTAATAGTGTATATAATTTGCAAAGAAACCAAAAAACTAAATGCAACAATAGAAAACGTTTTTAAAACTTTATAGGTCTAAAGTGTTGAGTGAAGTCATATAACCACTATACATGTATGAAGCAGGTTCTTGGTATTTAGTAGGACTACAGACTGCTTGATGTCGGTAATTTTAAATTTTTATTTTATATATTTTAAAAATATTTTGTGTGATGCAGGCCATACAAAGAACTAATGTGTGCCATGGGTTGGTCCATCCCTGATATAAAATATAATAAATTAATCTTTCAAGTGAGTTCTTTAATTTTTTTTTTTTTATGTTTGAAAATTTATATATAGTGTTACTAATTGATGATCTGTTTACATAAACACAACTTCTACATAAATACTGCATTTATAATATTACAAAAAGTGTATATTATAAGTCAAAAAACTGGAACCTCACAAATAACTACAATCTGTTGTACTTTATATCATCACTGTATTGAATGCATTTTCAAATTAAAATATCAAGCATGTTGTTCTGAAATTTCAAATTTATTCCCTAATAAAACATTTGTTTAGAGAAAATAAAAATAATTTATTAATGAACCATTTTTTTTTGTTACACCTCAAAACAGTTAAACTATTTCAATAGTTTAACTGTTTATTATAAATACTAGTACAATGCATTAATAGTAAATCTTGTCAGTATAATTTAAGAATTTTATAAGAAATATGAATAGTTGAATGAGAATTCTGTAAAATAATTTATGTATAATTATTGATTTACAGTAATATATAAATTAAAAAATATAAGGAGTCTTTAAAGATAAATTAATTCTACAAAATATTTTTTTATTTGTATTTATCATCTGCCTAAATTTTGAATGCCATATTTGTTAACAATTTAGAATGAGTAAAACACTTCATTTCTAGTATTGTAATCTAGTCAATTAATTATTGTAAATTATAACTATTTTAAGTTGGATAATATATGTAGATTTATTAAAATCCAATCTGTGATAAGATTTTTCGTCATTGAAAAAATTCTATAACAGTATTTATTTTTTTCAAATAAGTTTCACATTACACTAGTGATTTTCATCTTTGTTATCATTTAATTGTTTTTTAAAAACTTTTGTATATAAAGAATTTAATAATAATTTGAAGCCTGTATATGCAGACACCTCGCGTTTGATTTTCTTGATTGCCCAACTACAAAAAAAAAGCCTTAAGTGTCTTTTGTAACAATTTGAAATATAAAAATTCATAAACTTCAGAAAGTAACAGAATATTTTTGTTAAAAATCTCGGTAATTAATAACAGNCTACCTTCATCCCCAATTAGTCCGGATAATCGAGGTTCTACTGTAGTTCTCTGGTAAAACTTTTTTTTATTTTTCTAATAAATTTTAAAATTAACGATAAATAAAAAATTTTTAATAGCAATATTTCATTTTTTCAACAGTCTGTCATGTGCCGTAATATATTAAAGTGAGTTTGTATAAATTATTACATGATTAAGTTTTCTTTATTCTTGAATGTTTCTCTATTAATTTACGAAAATATCCGTCGGAAATTTTCATCAGCTCGTCGAAATTGCCCAATTCAACAATTATACCCCGTCCAAAACCGCAATCTTGTCGGCTCCAGTGATCGTAGTTAATCTGTGAGCGATGACCACAACAATCCGGTTCTTCCTGATTTGTTCCATAGCTTCTTTTATAAGAAATAAAGTAAAATAAACATATTATGAATGGAAGCACAAATTATGTATTTTAAACAGTATTGTCTTCCATTTTGTATATTGTAATATTTTTGGAAATAATTATAAAGTAAAATAAACATATGTTGAATGGAAGCACAAATTATGTATTTTAAACAGTATTGTCTTCCATTTTGTATATTGTAATATTTTTGGAAATAATTATGAATGGGAATTTTTTCTGTATATTGTTTGATGTATATGCTAATACTGTAAAATAAAAGAAGCTGGGTGTGATAGCAACAAGACAAAAATTTTTGTTCATTTATAAACAAAAGTAATAGTTTATTATTTAGTTTCTTTTTATAGATTAACTAGATCAATTGTAATACTGCAAAACACACACCTAACAGAGTACATAATAAGAAAATCATAATCATATTGTCATTATATACAAAAACATTTAATGTATAAAAGATGAAATGAACATAAATTATGTCCATTTGCCATCAAACTTTAATATATAGTAAAAGCTCCATATTTTCACATACTTAGTTTGCATATTTGCAGAAGAAATAATGAAAGGTTTTTGTTGTGTTTATTCAGTAACCAGCCAAAACATCAGTTGCATCTGGTCAGTTATTGATTCTATGAGGTTTTAGTAGTTCAGTGGGATGTCATCAGAAGAGCCTTCACTTGTATCGTAAATCTGTTCAACTCAAACCACAAATTCTGATTGGAAATTCTTCTTCCTTTCCTTGTTGATCCAATTTTGATGCATTGGAGACTCTGTCAGTAATGAACATTGTTAGAAGTGAAAAATGACAAGGCTATGGCTCCATAAACCCATATTTGGGAGTATTCAATGAACAATGTTCAACACATTTGTGCCATCATCACTATTGAAACTGTAAGAGATGTTTCAAAGTAGTAGTACTATTTCTTCACATAAGATGAAACAGCCTATACCAACATCTTTCGTCAATGAGATGTGGCTGGCCTGTGCCTTGCTGTCAGTTTGTTGTTTTGCCTATTTGGTCCACCTGTGTGCTCATCAGTAGGGTCAAGGGATCATATTGATGAGCACAAACAGCTGCAGAGCTTCATTGTTTTGGAGAGGGTAACATGAAAGCATCTACCATCCAGTTTGGTCTTTGTTGAAGTTAGGTGAATCTACTGCTTTTACCCATTTGCACACTAACAACTACTGCTTGTGAAACCTTCTGTCAGCTGTTATACAGTATATCCATTTGATAACCTTGACGCATGTTGCCTACAGGAACTTTTTTCTTTTACTCTTTCCACATTGTGAATAATAAAAGAACCCTTTTTAGCAAGCCCATTATGTGAGGTTATCTGACAAGGGGAAGGAGTTGATTGGAAGTCAACTAGAGTAGCTAGGATGGATAAGGAAAGGAATATGTGGGTGAAGGTGGACATACTAATGCAAAGTACATTTACAAATGAAACCTGTTTATTTGGAAATAAACTGATTACTTAATTAAAAGTCTTTTTAGAGAGATGCTCCT